CAAAGTCTGTTGGATGGTTCGAGTTGGTTTAAAAATGGTTTTTACTTGGTGTTTCTCCAGTATCTTGCCGATCCTGTCCGTGACTCCGTGTATGTATGGGAGGCAAGCCCAACTCCTACGCTCATCATGCGTCTCTGTTGTCTCCGAGCGATCTTCACTGTTTTTTGGTCGAATTGCTCTATTGAAATCTTTCTTCCAGGTGTTTTAATTCTCTCTCTAACTCGGCTGGTTCGCAGATTCTTCTGGCTCTTTCGGTGAGAGTTTTGATGACTCCTCTTTTCTGACGGGGATGATGGTTTGAACCACTGTGCAGGTACCGGTCGGTATGTGTAGGTTTTCTGTACACCGTGTGGGCCAGCTTTCCGTTGGCTTTTCTGGTCACCAAGACATCCAAAAAAGGCAGTCGCCCATCCTTCTCCACTTCCATAGTGAATTGAATTTTAGGGTTCATTGAGTTGAGGTGCCTCAGGAAGTCTTCAAGTTCAGTCAGACCATCGCCCCAAACAACAAAAGTGTCATCAACATAGCGCAACCAACACTTGGGTTTCCTCACGGCTGTGTCCAGAGCGTTCTTTTCGAATTTTTCCATAAAATAGTTGGCTATCACTGGACTAAGAGGACTGGCATACGTTCGCTGCCCGTTCAAACCGCAGAACAGATAAGGGCCGAGACTTCAAGAATTTTGCAACGCTCGAAGCCTCCGAAGAGCAACCTCACTTCCAGTGAAAGAAAAGCCCTGAAAACGCTGAATGAGGATAAGGAGATTCTCGTGTTGCCAGCTGATAAGCGCAATGCAACTGTGGGCATGTCTTCATTGAACTACGAAGACAAAATCAAAGAACTTTTGACCCCGTCAACGTACAAGAAGTTGACACGGGATCCGACGGCATGGATACTAAGAACAACGAACAAATTAATTAAGGATATGACAATTCCATCCGAGGAGTTGGCAAAGCTGAAAAAATCAGAAGCACTCCCACCCCCTACGGACTGCCCAAGATCCATAAACCGGATGTACCACTGAGACCCATTGTGAGCGCCATTGGAAGTCCGATCTCCAATATTGCAAAATATCTAGCTAAAATATTACAGCCAAAAATTGGAAAAACAGACAGCTTTATGAAGGACTCATCCGATTTTGTTCAGAGGTTGCACTCGTTGTCGTTGTCGCCCGGGGAAATCCTTGTGAGTTTTGATGTGGTTTCATTGTTCACAATGGGACCAATCAGGGAGGCAATGGAACTTGTTGCGAGATAATTTCCACCAGACATCGTCAAACTCTTCGAACACTGTCTAACCACAACCTACTTTCAGTGGAACAGCAAATTCTTTGAGCAGACGGATGGAGTAGCAATGGGCAG